AGTATTAATAAGCACTTTTAAAAATTTTACTCAAACATATCTTATTATTGAAACTCCATTTTATTAAACGGCTTTTTCTCAAACTCCTTTTTTAAAACTCCTTTTCATGTAAGCATAAACCGAATCAAACGAAGCCTTATTGTAGTAGTTATCTCAAATATATTGGATTCCGTTGTAGGTTGCCGTTGAAAATGTCTATAAATTATATATATGATTCTTTATTAGGCTTGCATGCAATTATAATTGGTCATTAGGTGATATTTTCAAGATTGGCATTTCACAGAACATGTTGAAGTGTGAACATGTTGCAGTGGCTATTATCTTCATTATGATGCCTAGTCTTGTCTGACCATGAGTGGGCAGGTTGAGTAGCTCTATGTTTAAACAAAAGCAAACCTTGGCAGATTGATAACACCTCCTTGAAGGTACTATAGACTGGGTATTATCCTATTCCTTATGATTCTTGGGCTTGAATATGTCAAATTGTGGAGCTTAATTTTTTGCTCTATTAAAAAACTACATAGATTTATACGGGGGTTGATTAGCATTAAGGTACTATAGATTTCATTCTTTTTTCACGCTTGATGATTGAATTAGGTTTTAGTTATTCCCAACAAAGTATTACAAGCCATTAAGGGGCAGGGAAAGCAGCACTTACGTTAAAGAAAAATCAAATCTTTACAAATTGATTGCATCTTCTCGAAGTTGCTATAGATATATGAAAGAGATGATTTGACTTATATTTTGTCAGGTTTATGGAACATCAAATTTCATAGGCTATTGGCTATATTCTTCTTCTCTTTGTAGCTTATTTTGCTTCTATAAGCAGAGCCTCAAATTCGTAGTTTAATGATAAGGAAATAGCTTCTTATATGTTGAAATTCACAATTTTTTTGTTATATTTGATATGAATTGTTAGCCTTAATTTATTGCTAGTCTTTATTGGCATCTACTCAATTGCCTTCAACTACCTGTGCAGAGATCTGATGCGAAGCCTTCAAGACGTAGATCTATTGCATGTTTATGTGCACTTCTGTCAGCACAGGAGCACATCTAATGGGGTTGCTTGAGACCTGATTGATGGTTCATTGAAAGAAAAACCTGCTTGTCGAAATTGTGGGGACGCTGGTGCTATTATATGTAAGGATCTTTTGCCCTTTTCCTTTTGTTTTGTTTTTTTTATTAGAATGTGAAATGAACAGTTACAACTGACAACTACTACTTGAATGTTACATGTCAGAATCAGTAATGACATAAAAATCTAACAGAAATATTATGTTTATTTTCCATAAATTCCTTATTTATTGGGTTTATAGTTTTAGATGAATTACTAAATGAAATAAATATTTATAGATTATACGCACTGAAGTCAAATATATTTACAGTTGAAAGGAATCTCTAAAGAATTTGAATATAATATTCTTTGGAAAAGTAGATGGATTATGTCCGACAGTGTAAAATAACTCTATTTTGGGTAAATTTATGAAGTTGTTTAGGTTTTTTCTCTCAATCTTCTTTCTCATTCTCATTCTCGCAAGGAAAATCTGGATGGAAGATATATCCTTCAAAATCTCCTCATGTGAACCTCTTGCTATCGGTCTTAGGTTCTCTGTTTATTGTTGTTGTTGAGTAATGAAAGCATGATGCTACCTAGGTCTTTTGTGAGGAGAAATTATTCTGTGCGGATGCCGAACGCAGTACGGAGACCAAGCAGAATGCGCCATGTCATCCCTTGCTCGGTACCGCAGCTCGGTATTGCTAACGTGACGTATTCTGGTTGGTCTCTGTTTATTGTTGTTGTTGAGTAATGAAAGCAAGATGCTACCTAGGCCTTTTGTGAGGAGAAATTATTTTGTGCGGATGCCGAACGCAGTACGGAGACTAATCAGAATGCGTCATGTCATCCCTTGCTCGGTATCGTGGTCTGGTACTGCTAACGTGGCATATTCTGGTTGGTGTCCGAACGTTAAACTGCGTTCGGCATCCGCACAGAATAATCTCCCTTGTGAGGCACTAGGGATGTCAAAAAAGCTCATGATGTGAACCTCTTCCTACCTAGGCCCCTTGTGCAGAGAAGTCTTTGTTGGGAAGGTAAAATTTTTAAAGTTATTATGAATATTATGTATATTTATTTTTTAAATTTGAACAATAGTTTTCTATGCTTGTCAAAAAATAATCTCTCATCATAAAAAATATGATTATCGTCTCTCTTAATACTTCTCTATAATTTTTTTGTTACTTTTCTTTTGATCTATATTTAAGAGCTATTTACTCACATGTATGAAAGCCTTTTTTTTTTTCATCAATGAAATTAGGCTCTACCATCAAATTTTCCAAAAAAAAAAAAAAAGTTTTGAGATTGGACAAATGGTCACTTAACCCTAGCTCTTAATCATCAATAAGATTTCATTCGGAATAATTTTCTTACTATTTTTTAAAGCAGCTTTTAAGTTTAATTTTTTTTAATTCAATTTGTTTTTTCAATCATTACTATGTATTATTAAAATATTTTTGTTAAGCGCAGTTGATTAGGCCGTTCTAAATATTTTGTCGTTTTCTTTAGTTTTCATTAGGCTTATTAGCATTTACTGAGAGGTTTAAATAAACTTACTTGAAAAGAGGCGACGTATTTAATCAGGCACGATTATTGTATAATTAATTCAATATTTCCTTATTTTAATGTGGCATTCATAGATAAAGACTTTCATTTACTTGATAATTATTACCACATTGGTGAATATAAAAATAATTATACGGTGATTTCAATATTTTGATAAGTTTTATATAAAACAAATATTTAAATCCTTTTAAAATTTTTTGAACATAAGCATTCTTTCAATGAGATAAATTTGAGGCGGTTAATTCAAATAAAATAAAAATCTACACTTATTATTACTCTGATTTCTCAGTTTTAATTTATCTTATTATATATATATATGAGTATAGTAATTATATATATATATATATATATATATATATATATTATATATATATGATTTCTTTTCTTCATTTTTTTTTTGAATTGGTCCATCAATCTTATCTTTGCTATTATCCATATAATAATATATTTGTGACAAATATTTCAATATTATATAAAATAAATATCTTTTAAAAATATATAATGGAGAAGAGATTCATCTCATTCCTTTTAATTTCAATAACGAATTAATGATTATAAAAGTAATTGTAAAAATTATTATAGAAAAAATAAACCTTTTTTCAAGTTGTATAAAAAGTAGCATATTTGTACATAAATTTCTAGAAAGCGATAAAAAATGTAAAACCCAAAAGAAATTTTTGATTATGATATGAACAAAGTGCATTTTTATAATTAATATTTTAAACGAGTTGGCTTCGTAAGCTAATGGGTCAGGCTAGGGTTTGACTCAAAGCTTGATTTGTTGTTCATCGAGCTTCAACTTAAGAAACCATTTATCGGCTCACGAGTCGGCTTGATTCACTTTAAAATATATAATGATCATTTTGATCAAAGTGGGAGTTAAACTACATGAATTTATTTTTAAATTTGTATAATACAAATTATTTAGATTAGTATTTCATTTTAAAATAAAATTTTAAAAATCATTCTAATTATTTTTATGAACATATTAATTTTATGTTCATAAGTTAATGAGCCAAGTAATTTTTTTTTTTTTTTTTTTTGCATATTCTACATCATGAGACGAGCCAAATAAGACTTAAGGTCGCGTCAAATTGACTTATTTACACGACTTAATTTCAATAAAGCTGTCCACAATAATTTTAGTTGGTAGTATCTTAAAGTCAATCTAGAGTTCTAGACGTGCTACTTGATAATAGTGATGACTAAGGCTTTATTTGGAGCATAAGCTTTATTTGGAGCAGTTTTTTTTATAATTTTTTAAAGTAAATTTTTAGTATAAAAATTTCTAGTTCGAAACAGTAAGAAATCTTTTCTAATTTATACTTAATTTGGGACAGCTTTCTTATTGTTTTTTAAAATAATTTTTCAGTTCAAAATTTTATGAACTGGATTTTTTTTGTGCAAAAAAGTTTTTTTAGGAAGCCGTAAAAAAGTTGGCCCAAACGATGACTTAGTTTATAAAAGCGGAGATTTACATAAATATCACCAAAATTTTATATATTTTTAGTTTTATATATTTACTTATATAATATTTAAAATTATAAATCACATTAAAAAAGTATCAATATTTACTTATTTAAACAAAGTATGCATTCTTATCGGTGGTCTGGAGTTGGAACCATACTATGGTCCCAACCCCATACCACCATACTCTGGCAATGGTGGTAGGAGGATCATAGTCGGGTGATGATGATTGGAGAATAGTAGTCATATGATAGTGGTTTGGAGGACCATTGCGAGACATTGGTGATCTGATGATATTAGTCATGTGATAGCCTAACGGTGGCAATTGGGTGGTGGTTTTTTTATAACAATCGGGTGGTGGCTTGATAGTGGCGGAAGAGCCGTCATATGGCGGTGGTGCTTCTCAAGCGAATAGCCCAAATTTTATTCAATATATAGAGTAGGGGCTTTTTGTATATTTTTTAGAGTGATATGCCTCATAAATATAACAAAAATCTGGAATACTTTATCGAATGACCTTTATTAATTTTCTTAATCATATATCAATCTTTCAACATTTATGTGCGCGAATGATGTCTTAATCATTAGGTTGTGCCTCCCATGAAATTAATGCAATAACGAAAAATAGAAGGGAGAAGTTTTCTTATTACAATCATGCAAAGGATATTTTCTATTCCATATTATATTTGAAGTTGCCAATTCCAATATTGACTTGCTTCTTCAAAAATGATAAAATGATGAATTGGATAAGAGATTGCCATGCTATAATTAGGGGTGTCAATTTCGGGTCACGGGTCGAACCCGGAAATGACCCGGCACTATTCGGGTCAACCTGAACCCGACCCATTTTTACAAACGGGTTGAT